GCAGCATTAGTAGTAGCAGCAGTAGTAGTAGCATTAGCAGCAGTAGAAGCAGTAGAAGTAGCAGCAGTAGTAGTAGCAATAGTAGCAGTAGTAGCAGCATTAGTAGCAGCAGTAGTAGTAGCAGTAGAAGCAGCAGCAGTAGTAGCAGCATTAGCAGCAGTAGAAGTAGCAGCAGCAGTAGTAGCAGTAGAAGCAGCAGCAGTAGCAGCAGTAGTAGCAGCAAAAGTAGCAATAGAAGCAGCATTAGTAGCAGCAGTGGCAGCATTAGTAGCAGCAACAGTAGTAGCAGCATTAGCAGCAGTAGAAGCAGTAGAAGTAGTAGCAGTAGTAGTAGCAATAGTAGCAGTAGTAGCAGCATTAGTAGCAGTAGAAGTAGTAGTAGTAGAAGCAGTAGTAGTAGCAGCAGTAGTAGTAGCAATAGTAGCATTAGCAGCAGTAGAAGCAGTAGTAGTAGCATTAGCAGCAGTAGAAGCAGTAGTAGCAGTAGTAGTAGCAATAGTAGCAGTAGTAGCAGCATTAGTAGCAGTAGAAGCAGTAGAAGTAGCAGCAGTAGTAGTAGCAGCGATAGCAGCAGCAGTAGTAGCCTTAGCAGCAGTAGAAGCAGTAGTAGTAGCATTAGCAGCAGTAGAAGCAGTAGTAGTAGCAGCAGTAGTAGTAGCAATAGTAGCAGCATTAGTAGCAGCAGTAGCAGCAGTAGTAGTAGCAGTAGAAGCAGCTGCAGTAGTAGTAGCATTAGCAGCAGTAGAAGTAGCAGCAGTAGCAGCAGTAGAAGCAGCAGCAGTAGCAGCAGTAGTAGCAGCAAAAGTAGCAGTAGAAGCAACAGTAGCAGCTGTACTAGCAGCATTAGTAGCAGCAGCAGCATAAGCAACAGTAGCAAGAGTAGAAGCAACAATAGCAGCAGTAGTGGTAGCAGCAGAATAAGCAACAGTAGCAGCAGTAGTGGCAGCAATACTAGCAGTAGAATCAAGAGTAGCAGTAGTAGCAGCAGCAGAAGCAGCAGGAGACGCAACGGTAGCAGCAGCAGTCACGTGACCCGTGACGGGGGGGGGGGTCAAAGGTCGCGCGCATCTCCCCAGAGCTGTCCCCTGGCCGGGACACTGCGGAGGGGGGTCCTTCTCGGGGCACTCCGAGACAAGTCACGTCAACAACAACAACAACAAAAACAGACGGAATTTTAAAAGTTCCAACAACAAAAAATATATATATCAATCGGTCCCGGTCGAACATCCTCAAATTGAGATCGTCGACAGCGGGGAGGGAACGAGAGATTACAAAAAGTTCACGCTTTCAAGTTGCGCCACTTTCTCGTTACGATGTGTACAAGTATCGTTATTTTTTTATTGGGAGCGGCGGCGCAGCGGTTAGCGAAACCGCGATAAGAATCTGGTGATTGTTGTTGTTGTTGGCTTAAGGCACTAAGTTGTGCTCCAAATGAGAATCCCAGAGATTCCCGTTGTTGAGGTATAAGTCATCAATCACGAGTATTCTCACCACCAGCATCACCCCATCACCACCACCATCCTCATGAATCACCATTAGCAGCATCACCAGCATCACCAACATCACCATCACCTATACGTAATCGGAACGTTATGAATGACGCCACAATCATCACCACCACCACCACCATCATGATGAATCACCATCAGCACATACCGTGTGAACCCGTACACGTACGGGTTTTATCCCGTATTCCTGTGCCGGGAAATTTCAGTTTTCAGCTCCATACCGACAGAGTCACGGCCGTTTCGATGCGGGCAAAAACAAAGTTTTTGTGTCCATGTGTTAGTGTTTCCCCCTTGTGATGGTGACTTTGTAGGATGAACGTTGAGATTTATAAGGGGCCCCCCCCCGTACGGGGTGCTACCAACAAGGTCCGAGTTGGTCTGTGGAGTAAGGTAGGGCACTGGTAAGGGGCTGGCAGTTGTGTGTCAGCAGCAGCAGCAGCATCGCCGACGCCACCACGACCACCACCATCGCACATTATACAGAATCGCACCGTCATGATGTCGCAATCAGCACCGCCACCATCACCGTTCCAAGGTCATCACGCGAACCCGCCCCATTGACAACTTCAACAGCAACCGTGCAAAAATTAGGCGGGGGGGGGGGGGGGGCGGGGCGGGGCGGGGGGGGGGGCGGGCGGTGGGGGATGGCGGACCCCGCCACAGCAACGTGGAATTTCCACCGACTCGTTTAAGACGGGGCGGGAGGTGCGAGTGGCACAATCGGTCAACTGCGTAGGAGAGGAGAGCTGCTCCATGGAGCGGGGGAGAGCTGCTCCATGGCGCAGAGCTGCTCCATGGAGCGGGGGAGAGCTGCTCCATGGAGCAGAGCTGCTCCATGGAGCAGAGCTGCTCCATGGCGCAGAGCTGCTCCATGGAGCGGGGGAGAGCTGCTCCATGGCGCAGAGCTGCTCCATGGAGCGGGGGAGAGCTGCTCCATGGAGCAGAGCTGCTCCATGGAGCAGAGCTGCTCCATGGCGCAGAGCTGCTCCATGGAGCGGGGGAGAGCTGCTCCATGGAGCAGAGCTGCTCCATGGAGCAGAGCTGCTCCATGGAGCAGAGCTGCTCCATGGAGCAGAGCTGTTCCATGGAGCAGAGCTGCTCCATGGAGCAGCTCTGCTCCATGGAGCGGGGGAGAGCTGCTCCATGGAGCAGAGCTGCTCCATGGAGCAGAGCTGCTCCATGGAGCGGGGGAGAGCTGCTCCATGGAGCAGAGCTGCTCCATGGAGCAGAGCTGCTCCATGGAGCAGAGCTGCTCCATGGAGCGGGGGAGAGCTGCTCCATGGAGCAGAGCTGCTCCATGGAGCGGGGGAGAGCTGCTCCATGGAGCGGTGGAGAGCTGCTCCATGGAGCAGAGCTGCTCCATGGAGCAGAGCTGCTCCATGGAGCGGGGGAGAGCTGCTCCATGGAGCAGAGCTGCTCCATGGAGCAGAGCTGCTCCATGGAGCAGAGCTGCTCCATGGAGCGGTGGAGAGCTGCTCCATGGAGCAGAGCTGCTCCATGGAGCGGGGGAGAGCTGCTCCATGGAGCAGAGCTGCTCCATGGAGCAGCAGAGCTGCTCCATGGAGCGGGGGAGAGCTGCTCCATGGAGCAGAGCTGCTCCATGGAGCAGAGCTGCTCCATGGAGCAGAGCTGCTCCATGGAGCAGAGCTGCTCCATGGAGCAGAGCTGTTCCATGGAGCAGAGCTGCTCCATGGAGCAGCTCTGCTCCATGGAGCGGGGGAGAGCTGCTCCATGGAGCAGAGCTGCTCCATGGAGCAGAGCTGCTCCATGGAGCGGGGGAGAGCTGCTCCATGGAGCAGAGCTGCTCCATGGAGCAGAGCTGCTCCATGGAGCAGAGCTGCTCCATGGAGCGGGGGAGAGCTGCTCCATGGAGCAGAGCTGCTCCATGGAGCGGGGGAGAGCTGCTCCATGGAGCGGTGGAGAGCTGCTCCATGGAGCAGAGCTGCTCCATGGAGCGGGGGAGAGCTGCTCCATGGAGCAGAGCTGCTCCATGGAGCAGAGCTGCTCCATGGAGCGGTGGAGAGCTGCTCCATGGAGGAGAGCTGCTCCATGGAGCGGGGGAGAGCTGCTCCATGGCGCAGAGCTGCTCCATGGAGCGGGGGAGAGCTGCTCCATGGAGCAGAGCTGCTCCATGGAGCAGAGCTGCTCCATGGCGCAGAGCTGCTCCATGGAGCGGGGGAGAGCTGCTCCATGGCGCAGAGCTGCTCCATGGAGCGGGGGAGAGCTGCTCCATGGAGCAGAGCTGCTCCATGGAGCAGAGCTGCTCCATGGCGCAGAGCTGCTCCATGGAGCGGGGGAGAGCTGCTCCATGGAGCAGAGCTGCTCCATGGAGCAGAGCTGCTCCATGGAGCAGAGCTGCTCCATGGAGCAGAGCTGTTCCATGGAGCAGAGCTGCTCCATGGAGCAGCTCTGCTCCATGGAGCGGGGGAGAGCTGCTCCATGGAGCAGAGCTGCTCCATGGAGCAGAGCTGCTCCATGGAGCGGGGGAGAGCTGCTCCATGGAGCAGAGCTGCTCCATGGAGCAGAGCTGCTCCATGGAGCAGAGCTGCTCCATGGAGCGGGGGAGAGCTGCTCCATGGAGCAGAGCTGCTCCATGGAGCGGGGGAGAGCTGCTCCATGGAGCGGTGGAGAGCTGCTCCATGGAGCAGAGCTGCTCCATGGAGCAGAGCTGCTCCATGGAGCGGGGGAGAGCTGCTCCATGGAGCAGAGCTGCTCCATGGAGCAGAGCTGCTCCATGGAGCAGAGCTGCTCCATGGAGCGGTGGAGAGCTGCTCCATGGAGCAGAGCTGCTCCATGGAGCGGGGGAGAGCTGCTCCATGGAGCAGAGCTGCTCCATGGAGCAGCAGAGCTGCTCCATGGAGCGGGGGAGAGCTGCTCCATGGAGCAGAGCTGCTCCATGGAGCAGAGCTGCTCCATGGAGCAGAGCTGCTCCATGGAGCAGAGCTGCTCCATGGAGCAGAGCTGTTCCATGGAGCAGAGCTGCTCCATGGAGCAGCTCTGCTCCATGGAGCGGGGGAGAGCTGCTCCATGGAGCAGAGCTGCTCCATGGAGCAGAGCTGCTCCATGGAGCGGGGGAGAGCTGCTCCATGGAGCAGAGCTGCTCCATGGAGCAGAGCTGCTCCATGGAGCAGAGCTGCTCCATGGAGCGGGGGAGAGCTGCTCCATGGAGCAGAGCTGCTCCATGGAGCGGGGGAGAGCTGCTCCATGGAGCGGTGGAGAGCTGCTCCATGGAGCAGAGCTGCTCCATGGAGCGGGGGAGAGCTGCTCCATGGAGCAGAGCTGCTCCATGGAGCAGAGCTGCTCCATGGAGCGGTGGAGAGCTGCTCCATGGAGGAGAGCTGCTCCATGGAGCAGAGCTGCTCCATGGAGCGGTGGAGAGCTGCTCCATGGAGCGGGGGAGAGCTGCTCCATGGAGCGGAGAGCTGCTCCATGGAGCAGAGCTGCTCCATGGAGCGGTGGAGAGCTGCTCCATGGAGCGGAGGATCGTGAGAGACTGGCGGCAGTGGTGGCGTTGCGTATTTTGGCTCGGGGATGGTGGGGGGGGGGGGGTGGCCTTCATCCAGCAGTGGATAAAGACGATTGCTGATGATGCTGCTGCTGCTGATGATGATGATGATCAATGACGCGACGATTTCTCCCAAGACGTAAAGTTAGGCATTCTGTGATCTGCGCATTAAAGCTCTGCTCGTTTACGCGCGGATCTAAATACATATATATTTCTGTTCATCAATAATTAAAAGATATATTTTAAAATCGTATTAGCGATAGAACACTGCCACACAGCAGTCCCATTGAAACCTCTGCGCGTGATGAGGCTCATTAAAATTGGGTGAAGCCTCGTGTGGAATGGAATGAATATTAAGTAAGGAGGCGGAGCCTCAGTGGAATGAATACTAATTAAGGGGCGGATCCTCACTTGGTTGAATTATTAATTAAGGGGCGGCGCCTCGGTGGAATGAATATTAATTAAGAGGCGGAACCTCAGTGGAATGAATACCAATTAAGGGGTGGAGCCTCATTTGAATTAATGTTAATTAAGGCGCGGGGGCATCACCGGAATGAATATTAATTAAGGGGCGGCGCCTCTGTTGAATGAATATTAATTAGGAGGCGGAGCCTCAGCGAAATTAACGTTCATTCGTTCTCAACAGAATCGAATGGGTGGAATGTCAACGGAGCCTCGAACTAATTAATATTCATCGCAGGGGGAGGGGCCTCGGTGGAATGCGTAAACCCCAATGGTCCGTTAGGCGCCGTCACCAAACGACGAAAAATGGGGGGGGGGGCGCCTATCCTATGACGTCATCAGGCGGGTTTCGACGACATGACGTCATCGGGCGGGCGGGCTTCGACGACATGACGTCACCGGGCGTGTCTTGTGGGTGGGGGGGTCTCATTTGAGCGGAGGGATTCGCGTGGCGAGGAACTCGTCGATGTGAGGCCAGATCACGTCCGTCTCAGTCCCCGTGAAAGAGTGCAGGAGCCCCTTCTCCCTGCACGCGTCACCCGGCAAAAAACATCGTCACAATCAGCAACATCGTCACAATCAGAAACATCGTCATCATCATCACAATCAGCAACATCGTCATCATCATCACAATCAGCAACATCGTCATCATCATCACAATCAGCAACATCGTCATCATCATCACAATCAGCAACATCGTCATCATCATCACAATCAGCAACATCGTCATCATCATCACAATCAGCAACATCATCATCACAATCGCAACATCGTCACAATCAGCAACATCGTCACAATCAGCAACATCGTCATCATCATCACAATCAGCAACATCGTCACAATCAGCAATGTCGTCACAATCAGCAACATCGTCGTCATCATCATCACAATCAGCAACATCGTCATCATCATCATCATCACAATCACCATCATCATCATCACAATCAGCAACATCGTCACAATCAGCAACGTCATCACACTCAGCAACATCGTCACAACAAAGGAGTTGTTGTTGCTGTTAGATTGCGTGAATATTGGCGTGTCGTTAAACCCGCCACCACCCAAGGTTTGTCACGTCAACAAAAGGTGGCCCAATTCGTGACTAGTTCAGCACTAAGCGGTTGCTGCGCGTTGGAGAGTCAAACCCACAGCATCTACGATGACTACACACACAGCAGAGTCATCACGTGGTGTCACACAGTGACAGCTGCCACTGGGGGTGCCCCCTAGGCTAGCTCACTCAGCAGAGTCATCACGTGGTGTCACACAGGGACAGCTGCCACTGGGGGTGCCCCCTAGGCTAGCTCACACAGCAGAGTCATCACGTGGTGTCACACAGGGACAGCTGCCACTGGGGGTGCCCCCTAGGCTAGCTCACTCAGCAGAGTCATCACGTGGTGTCACACAGGGACAGCTGCCACTGGGGGTGGCCCTCGCGGCAAGCGTGAGTGGTGAGCGTGAGTGGTGAGTGGTGAGCGGTGAGCGTGAGTGGTGGGTGGTGAGTGGTGAGTGGTGAGCGTGAGTGGTGGGTGGTGAGCGTGAGTGGTGGGTGGTGAGTGGTGGGTGGTGAGTGGTGAGCGGTGAGCGTGAGTGGTGGGTGGTGAGTGGTGAGTGGTGAGCGTGAGTGGTGAGCGTGAGTGGTGAGCGTGAGTGGTGAGTGGTGAGCGGTGAGTGGTGAGCGTGAGTGGTGGGTGGTGAGTGGTGAGTGGTGAGCGTGAGTGGTGAGCGTGAGTGGTGAGTGGTGAGCGTGAGTGGTGAGCGTGAGTGGTGAGTGGTGAGCGTGAGTGGTGAGCGTGAGTGGTGGGTGGTGAGTGGTGAGCGTGAGTGGTGAGTGGTGAGCGTGAGTGGTGGGTGGTGAGCGGTGAGTGGTGAGCGTGAGTGGTGAGTGGTGAGCGTGAGTGGTGAGCGTGAGTGGTGAGTGGTGAGCGTGAGTGGTGAGCGTGAGTGGTGAGTGGTGAGCGGTGAGTGATGAGCGTGAGTGGTGAGTGGTGAGCGGTGAGTGGTGAGCGTGAGTGGTGGGTGGTGAGTGGTGAGTGGTGAGCGTGAGTGGTGAGTTGTGAGTGGTGAGCGTGAGTGGTGAGCGTGAGTGGTGAGTGTGAGTGGTGAGTGTGAGTGGTGAGTGTGAGTGGTGAGTGTGAGTGGTGAGCTCACCCGTAGTAGATCAGCACGGGCTCCGTACGGGCGCTGTATTCCTTCAGCGGTGCCGTGTGAGTGGTGAGTGTGAGTGGTGAGTGTGAGTGGTGAGTGTGAGTGGTGAGTGTGAGTGGTGAGCTCACCCGTAGTAGATCAGCACGGGCTCCGTACGGGCGCTGTATTCCTTCAGCCGTGACGTGTGGGTGGTGAGTGTGAGTGGTGAGTGTGAGTGGTGAGTGTGAGTGGTGAGCTCACCCGTAGTAGATCAGCACGGGCTCCGTACGGGCGCTGTATTCCTTCAGCCGTGCCGTGTGGGTGGTGAGTGGTGAGTGTGAGTGGTGAGTGTGAGTGGTGAGTGTGGGTGGTGAGTGGTGAGTGTGAGTGGTGAGCTCACCCGTAGTAGATCAGCACGGGCTCCGTACGGGCGCTGTATTCCTTCAGCCGTGCTGTGTGAGTGGTGAGTGTGAGTGGTGAGTGTGAGTGGTGAGTGTGAGTGGTGAGTGTGAGTGGTGAGCTCACCCGTAGTAGATCAGCACGGGCTCCGTACGGGCGCTGTATTCCTTCAGCCGTGACGTGTGAGTGGTGAGTGTGAGTGGTGAGTGTGAGTGGTGAGTGTGAGTGGTGAGTGTGAGTGGTGAGCTCACCCGTAGTAGATCAGCACGGGCTCCGTACGGGCGCTGTATTCCTTCAGCCGTGCCGTGTGAGTGGTGAGTGTGAGTGGTGAGTGTGAGTGGTGAGTGTGGGTGGTGAGTGTGGGTGGTGAGTGTGAGTGGTGAGTGTGAGTGTGTGTGAGTGGTGAGTGTGAGTGGTGAGTGTGAGTGGTGAGTGTGAGTGGTGAGTGTGAGTGGTGAGTGTGAGTGGTGAGCTCACCCGTAGTAGATCAGCACGGGCTCCGTACGGGCGCTGTATTCCTTCAGCCGTGACGTGTGAGTGGTGAGTGTGAGTGGTGAGTGTGAGTGGTGAGTGTGAGTGGTGAGTGTGAGTGGTGAGTGTGAGTGGTGAGTGTGAGTGGTGAGTGTGGGTGGTGAGTGGTGAGTGTGAGTGGTGAGTGTGAGTGGTGAGTGTGAGTGGTGAGCTCACCCGTAGTAGATCAGCACGGGCTCCGTACGGGCGCTGTATTCCTTCAGCCGTGCCGTGTGAGTGGTGAGTGGTGAGTGTGAGTGGTGAGTGTGAGTGGTGAGTGTGAGTGGTGAGCTCACCCGTAGTAGATCAGCACGGGCTCCGTACGGGCGCTGTATTCCTTCAGCCGTGACGTGTGAGTGGTGAGTGTGAGTGGTGAGTGTGAGTGGTGAGTGTGAGTGGTGAGTGTGAGTGGTGAGTGTGAGTGGTGAGCTCACCCGTAGTAGATCAGCACGGGCTCCGTACGGGCGCTGTATTCCTTCAGCCGTGCCGTGTGAGTGGTGAGTGTGAGTGGTGAGTGTGAGTGGTGAGTGTGAGTGGTGAGTGTGAGTGGTGAGCTCACCCGTAGTAGATCAGCACGGGCTCCGTACGGGCGCTGTATTCCTTCAGCCGTGACGTGTGAGTGGTGAGTGTGAGTGGTGAGTGTGAGTGGTGAGTGTGAGTGGTGAGTGTGAGTGGTGAGTGTGAGTGGTGAGCTCACCCGTAGTAGATCAGCACGGGCTCCGTACGGGCGCTGTATTCCTTCAGCCGTGCCGTGTGAGTGGTGAGTGTGAGTGGTGAGTGTGAGTGGTGAGTGTGAGTGGTGAGTGTGAGTGGTGAGCTCACCCGTAGTAGATCAGCACGGGCTCCGTACGGGCGCTGTATTCCTTCAGCCGTGCTGTGTGAGTGGTGAGTGTGAGTGGTGAGTGTGAGTGGTGAGTGTGAGTGGTGAGCTCACCCGTAGTAGATCAGCACGGGCTCCGTACGGGCGCTGTATTCCTTCAGCCGTGCTGTGTGAGTGGTGAGTGTGAGTGGTGAGTGTGAGTGGTGAGTGTGAGTGGTGAGTGTGAGTGGTGAGTGTGAGTGGTGAGTGTGAGTGGTGAGTGTGAGTGGTGAGTGTGGGTGGTGAATGGTGAGTGTGAGTGGTGAGTGTGAGTGGTGAGTGTGAGTGGTGAGTGTGAGTGGTGAGCTCACCCGTAGTAGATCAGCACGGGCTCCGTACGGGCGCTGTATTCCTTCAGCCGTGCCGTGTGAGTGGTGAGTGTGAGTGGTGAGTGTGAGTGGTGAGTGTGAGTGGTGAGTGTGAGTGGTGAGTGTGAGTGGTGAGCTCACCCGTAGTTGATCAGCACGGGCTCCGTACGGGCGCTGTATTCCTTCAGCCGTGCCGTGTGAGTGGTGAGTGTGAGTGGTGAGTGTGAGTGGTGAGTGTGAGTGGTGAGTGTGAGTGGTGAGTGTGAGTGGTGAGTGTGAGTGGTGAGTGTGAGTGGTGAGCTCACCCGTAGTAGATCAGCACGGGCTCCGTACGGGCGCTGTATTCCTTCAGCCGTGACGTGTGAGTGGTGAGTGTGAGTGGTGAGTGTGAGTGGTGAGTGTGAGTGGTGAGTGTGAGTGGTGAGTGTGAGTGGTGAGTGTGAGTGGTGAGTGTGAGTGGTGAGTGTGGGTGGCGAGTGGTGAGTGGTGAGTGTGAGTGGTGAGTGTGAGTGGTGAGTGTGAGTGGTGAGCTCACCCGTAGTAGATCAGCACGGGCTCCGTACGGGCGCTGTATTCCTTCAGCCGTGCCGTGTGAGTGGTGAGTGTGAGTGGTGAGTGTGAGTGGTGAGTGTGAGTGGTGAGTGTGAGTGGTGAGTGTGAGTGGTGAGTGTGAGTGGTGAGTGTGAGTGGTGAGCTCACCCGTAGTAGATCAGCACGGGCTCCGTACGGGCGCTGTATTCCTTCAGCCGTGCCGTGTGAGTGGTGAGTGTGAGTGGTGAGTGTGAGTGGTGAGTGTGAGTGGTGAGTGTGGGTGTGAGTGGTGAGTGTGAGTGGTGAGTGTGAGTGGTGAGTGTGGGTGGTGAGCTCACCCGTAGTAGATCAGCACGGGCTCCGTACGGGCGCTGTATTCCTTCAGCCGTGACGTGTGAGTGGTGAGTGTGAGTGGTGAGTGTGAGTGGTGAGTGTGAGTGGTGAGTGTGAGTGTGAGTGGTGAGTGTGAGTGGTGAGTGTGAGTGGTGAGTGTGAGTGGTGAGTGTGAGTGGTGAGTGTGGGTGGCGAGTGGTGAGTGGTGAGTGTGAGTGGTGAGTGTGAGTGGTGAGTGTGAGTGGTGAGCTCACCCGTAGTAGATCAGCACGGGCTCCGTACGGGCGCTGTATTCCTTCAGCCGTGCTGTGTGAGTGGTGAGTGTGAGTGGTGAGTGTGAGTGGTGAGTGTGAGTGGTGAGTGTGAGTGGTGAGTGTGAGTGGTGAGTGTGAGTGGTGAGCTCACCCGTAGTAGATCAGCACGGGCTCCGTACGGGCGCTGTATTCCTTCAGCCGTGCTGTGTGAGTGGTGAGTGTGAGTGGTGAGTGTGAGTGGTGAGTGTGAGTGGTGAGTGTGAGTGGTGAGTGTGAGTGGTGAGTGTGAGTGGTGAGCTCACCCGTAGTAGATCAGCACGGGCTCCGTACGGGCGCTGTATTCCTTCAGCCGTGCCGTGTGAGTGGTGAGTGTGAGTGGTGAGTGTGAGTGGTGAGTGTGAGTGGTGAGTGTGAGTGGTGAGCTCACCCGTAGTAGATCAGCACGGGCTCCGTACGGGCGCTGTATTCCTTCAGCCGTGACGTGTGAGTGGTGAGTGTGAGTGGTGAGTGTGAGTGGTGAGTGTGAGTGGTGAGTGTGGGTGTGAGTGGTGAGTGTGAGTGGTGAGTGTGAGTGGTGAGTGTGAGTGGTGAGTGTGGGTGTGAGTGGTGAGTGTGAGTGGTGAGTGTGAGTGGTGAGTGTGAGTGGTGAGCTCACCCGTAGTAGATCAGCACGGGCTCCGTACGGGCGCTGTATTCCTTCAGCCGTGCTGTGTGAGTGGTGAGTGTGAGTGGTGAGTGTGAGTGGTGAGTGTGAGTGGTGAGTGTGAGTGGTGAGTGTGAGTGGTGAGTGTGAGTGGTGAGTGTGAGTGGTGAGTGTGAGTGGTGAGTGTGAGTGGTGAGCTCACCCGTAGTAGATCAGCACGGGCTCCGTACGGGCGCTGTATTCCTTCAGCCGTGCTGTGTGAGTGGTGAGTGTGAGTGGTGAGTGTGAGTGGTGAGTGTGAGTGGTGAGTGTGAGTGGTGAGTGTGAGTGGTGAGTGTGAGTGGTGAGCTCACCCGTAGTAGATCAGCACGGGCTCCGTACGGGCGCTGTATTCCTTCAGCCGTGCCGTGTGAGTGGTGAGTGTGAGTGGTGAGTGTGAGTGGTGAGTGTGAGTGGTGAGTGTGAGTGGTGAGCTCACCCGTAGTAGATCAGCACGGGCTCCGTACGGGCGCTGTATTCCTTCAGCCGTGACGTGTGAGTGGTGAGTGTGAGTGGTGAGTGTGAGTGGTGAGTGTGAGTGGTGAGTGTGGGTGTGAGTGGTGAGTGTGAGTGGTGAGTGTGAGTGGTGAGTGTGAGTGGTGAGTGTGGGTGTGAGTGGTGAGTGTGAGTGGTGAGTGTGAGTGGTGAGTGTGAGTGGTGAGCTCACCCGTAGTAGATCAGCACGGGCTCCGTACGGGCGCTGTATTCCTTCAGCCGTGACGTGTGAGTGGTGAGTGGTGAGTGTGAGTGGTGAGTGTGAGTGGTGAGTGTGAGTGGTGAGTGTGAGTGGTGAGTGTGAGTGGTGAGTGTGAGTGGTGAGTGTGAGTGGTGAGTGTGAGTGGTGAGTGTGAGTGGTGAGCTCACCCGTAGTAGATCAGCACGGGCTCCGTACGGGCGCTGTATTCCTTCAGCCGTGCCGTGTGAGTGGTGAGTGTGAGTGGTGAGTGTGAGTGGTGAGTGTGAGTGGTGAGTGTGAGTGGTGAGTGTGAGTGGTGAGTGTGAGTGGTGAGCTCACCCGTAGTAGATCAGCACGGGCTCCGTACGGGCGCTGTATTCCTTCAGCCGTGCCGTGTGAGTGGTGAGTGTGAGTGGTGAGTGTGAGTGGTGAGTGTGAGTGGTGAGTGTGAGTGGTGAGCTCACCCGTAGTAGATCAGCACGGGCTCCGTACGGGCGCTGTATTCCTTCAGCCGTGACGTGTGAGTGGTGAGTGTGAGTGGTGAGTGTGAGTGGTGAGTGTGAGTGGTGAGTGTGGGTGTGAGTGGTGAGTGTGAGTGGTGAGTGTGAGTGGTGAGTGTGAGTGGTGAGTGTGGGTGTGAGTGGTGAGTGTGAGTGGTGAGTGTGAGTGGTGAGTGTGAGTGGTGAGCTCACCCGTAGTAGATCAGCACGGGCTCCGTACGGGCGCTGTATTCCTTCAGCCGTGACGTGTGAGTGGTGAGTGGTGAGTGTGAGTGGTGAGTGTGAGTGGTGAGTGTGAGTGGTGAGTGTGAGTGGTGAGTGTGAGTGGTGAGTGTGAGTGGTGAGTGTGAGTGGTGAGTGTGAGTGGTGAGTGTGAGTGGTGAGCTCACCCGTAGTAGATCAGCACGGGCTCCGTACGGGCGCTGTATTCCTTCAGCCGTGCCGTGTGAGTGGTGAGTGTGAGTGGTGAGTGTGAGTGGTGAGTGTGAGTGGTGAGTGTGAGTGGTGAGTGTGAGTGGTGAGTGTGAGTGGTGAGCTCACCCGTAGTAGATCAGCACGGGCTCCGTACGGGCGCTGTATTCCTTCAGCCGTGACGTGTGAGTGGTGAGTGTGAGTGGTGAGTGTGAGTGGTGAGTGTGAGTGGTGAGTGTGAGTGGTGAGTGTGAGTGGTGAGTGTGAGTGGTGAGTGTGAGTGGTGAGTGTGAGTGGTGAGTGTGAGTGGTGAGTGTGAGTGGTGAGTGTGAGTGGTGAGTGTGAGTGGTGAGCTCACCCGTAGTAGATCAGCACGGGCTCCGTACGGGCGCTGTATTCCTTCAGCCGTGACGTGTCAGTGGTGAGTGTGAGTGGTGAGTGTGAGTGGTGAGTGTGAGTGGTGAGTGGTGAGTGTGAGTGGTGAGTGTGAGTGGTGAGTGTGAGTGGTGAGTGTGAGTGGTGAGTGTGAGTGGTGAGTGTGAGTGGTGAGCTCACCCGTAGTAGATCAGCACGGGCTCCGTACGGGCGCTGTATTCCTTCAGCCGTGCCGTGTGAGTGGTGAGTGTGAGTGTGAGTGGTGAGTGTGAGTGTGAGTGGTGAGTGTGAGTGGTGAGTGTGAGTGGTGAGCTCACCCGTAGTAGATCAGCACGGGCTCCGTACGGGCGCTGTATTCCTTCAGCCGTGCTGTCACCGTCTCGGGACGGTCGTCCACACGCTGCACCAGCGGCTCCCCAGTCTCGTCATCCACACCCTGGGGGGGCGGGGGGGGGGGGGACACGGGGGGGGGGAGACACGGGGGGGGGAGACACGGGGGGGGGAGACACGGGGGGAGTGAGACACGGGGGGGGGAGACACGGGGGGGGGAGACACGGGGGGGGGAGACACGGGGGGGGGGGAGACCCGGGGGGGGAGACACGGGGGGGGGAGACACGGGGGGGGGGAGAGACACGGGGGGGGGGAGACACGGGGGGGGAGATACGGGGGGGGGGAGACACGGGGGGGGAGACATGGGGGGGTGAGACACGGGGGGGGGGGGAGGAAGACATTGAGGGTGAGACACGGGGGGGGGGAGACACGGGTTGGGGGGGTGAGACACGGGGGGGTAACAAGGATTTCCGCGTGGAGGCACGTGGGTAGAGACACGGAGACACGGACGGACTCAGGGAGTTGTGGGGGCATCGGGAGATGTGGGACACAGGGCATGTCTGTCTACGAGTGTGCTGCTCGCCAACACCACTTGCCCCGAGGGTCTGCCACGCGCTACACGGGGGATCTTTGTCTTTCTCTACACGTAGGGGAGCGGTCGTGCGGCGGTCAGCCCACAGCGCTACAAAGCCGGCGGACGGCCTCGGCGTAGCATCATCATCATCGTCATCATCATCGTCGTCATCATCGTCGTCATCATCGTCGTCATCATCATCATCGTCGTCATCATCGTCGTCATCATCGTCGTCATCATCATCATCGTCGTCATCATCGTCGTAATCGTCGTCATCATCATCATCATCGTCATCATCATCGTCGTCGTCATCATCATCGTCGTCGTCGTCATCATCGTCGTCATCGTCGTCATCGTCGTCATCATCGTCGTTGTCATCGTCATCGTCGTCATCGTCGTTGTCACACGAGGCGTTGGGGATGCTGCTGGATGCTTCTAGATGCTCCCCGCACGCTTGCGGGCGGACCTCACGGCTTTGTTCAGCCTGCGTGGGCGGCACGGGGGTCACGTGGGGCACGGGGGTCACGTGGGGCACGGGGTCACGGGGGTCACGTGGGGCACGGGGGTCACGTGGGGCACGGGGGTCACGGGGGTCACGGGGGTCACGGGGTCACGTGGTACCGGTTTGCGCGGGGGGTTGAAGTGTGTGTTGTAGACTCGCCCGCTCCCCGGGTGAGTCCACCGCGCCGTCAGACGCTCCGTGATGGTGGCGAACGGCACGTCCAGGTTGATGGCCGCGCCCAGCGGGTAGCGGTCGGACAGGGCCCGGGCCTGCGACACTGTCCGGGGGAAGCCTGCCGGGGGGGCCGCGGGGGGGGGGGGGGCGGGGGGGGGCCGCGGGGGGGGGGGGGGCGGGGGTAGGTCTTAACGAGCGTGGTGCGGGGGGGGCAGCCTGGTGGCTAGGAGATGTTGACTACCTTGCCTGGTATACAGGAGGTCGTGGGTTCGATCCCGAGTCTCCCCCCCATACCCTCCCCTTGTGCCCCCCCAAGCATGACCCCCCCCCCCCCCATTACTGTGCATTACTGTGCTTACCCCCCTCCTCCTGTGCGCCCCCCACTGTGCCCCCCTCCTCCTCCTGTATCCCCCCACTGTGCCCCCACCCCCACTGTGCCCCCCCCCCCCCCCCCCCCCCCACCTGTGCCCCCACTCACCATCCAGGAGCCAGCCGCGCTCCCCGATGGCCTTGATCTCGGTGAGCGTGAGCTCCGTGATGATCTCGTCGGGGACGAGGCGCCCCGCCAGCACGCACTCCTTGGCCAGCACGCCGATCTCTGGGGCAGGCGAACCGTCAACAAACACCGACAAACAATCAACAACAATCAACGACAAACAATCAACATACAATCAACAACAATCAACAACAAACATCAACAACAATCAACAACAAACATCAACAACAATCAACAAACATCAACAAAAATCAACAACAAACATCAACAACAATCAGCAACAAACATCAACAACAATCAACAACAATCAACAACAAGCATCAACAACAATCAACAACAAACATCAACAACAATCAACAACAAACATCAACAACAATCAACAACAAACATCAACAACAATCAACAACAAACATCAACAACAATCAGCAACAAACATCAACAACAATCAACAACAAACATCAACAACAATCAACAACAAACATCAACAACAATCAACAACAAACATCAACAACAATCAACAACAAACATCAACAAAAATCAACAACAAACATCAACAACAATCAACAACAAACATCAACAACAATCAGCAATAAACATCAACAACAATCAACAACAAACATCAACAACAATCAGCAACAAACATCAACAACAATCAACAACAAACATCAACAACAATCAGCAACAAACATCAACAACAATCAACAACAAACATCAACAACAATCAACAACAAAACAATCAACAACAATCAACAACAATCAACAACAAACAATCAACAACAATCAACAACAAACAATCAACAACAATCAACAACAATCAACAACAAACATCAACAACAATCAACAACAAACATCAACAAACATCAACAACAATCAACAACAATCAACAACAAACACCGACAAACAATCAACAACAATCAACAACAAACATCAACAACAATCAACAACAAGCATCAACAACAAGCATCAACAACAAGCAACAACAATCAACAACAATCAACAACAAAAATCAACAACAATCAACAACAAACATCAACAACAATCAACAACAAACATCAACAACAATCAACAAACATCAACAAAAATCAACAACAAACATCAACAACAATCAGCAACAAACATCAACAACAATCAACAACAATCAACAACAAGCATCAACAACAATCAACAACAAACATCAACAACAATCAACAACAAACATCAACAACAATCAACAACAAACATCAACAACAATCAACAACAAACATCAACAACAATCAGCAACAAACATCAACAACAATCAACAACAAACATCAACAACAATCAACAACAAACATCAACAAAAATCAACAACAAACATCAACAACAATCAACAACAAACATCAACAACAATCAGCAATAAACATCAACAACAATCAACAACAAACATCAACAACAATCAGCAACAAACATCAACAACAATCAACAACAAACATCAACAACAATCAGCAACAAACATCAACAACAATCAACAACAAACATCAACAACAATCAACAACAAACAATCAACAACAATCAACAACAATCAACAACAAACAATCAACAACAATCAACAACAAACAATCAACAACAATCAACAACAATCAACAACAAACATCAACAACAATCAACAACAAACATCAACAAACATCAACAACAATCAACAACAATCAACAACAAACACCGACAAACAATCAACAACAATCAACAACAAACATCAACAACAATCAACAACAAGCATCAACAACAAGCATCAACAACAAGCAACAACAATCAACAACAATCAACAACAAAAATCAACAACAATCAACAACAAACATCAACAACAATCAACAACAAACATCAACAACAATCAACAAACATCAACAAAAATCAACAACAAACATCAACAACAATCAACAACAAACATCAACAACAATCAACAACAAACATCAACAACAATCAACAACAAACATCAACAACAATCAACAACAAACATCAACAACAATCAACAACAAACATCAACAACAATCAGCAACAAACATCAACAACAATCAACAACAAACATCAACAACAATCAACAACAAACATCAACAACAATCAACAACAAACATCAACAACAATCAACAACAAACATCAACAACAATCAACAACAAACATCAACAACAAACATCAACAACAATCAACAACAAGCATCGGCCAGCAGCAAACGTCAACAATAAGCTACAGCAAACATCATCAGGCGTCGGGGACACATCGACAAACCTCAATAACAAAAAACAACAACAAACGTGTTGTTGTTGTTTAACGTCTAACTTGAAATCTACCAGGGTAAGGTCCCACTGAGCTCTGTTTACCGAAGCGACCAGGCCATCGCAAATGATTGCGAAATGAGGTTGGTGGCTTATCAAGTGAACAATCATAGCAGCAGCCAAAGGACTCTGAACGCGTGGTGACGCCGCGTCTAAACGTGGAGGGGGAAAGAACGGAGGGCCCTAAAGAAAAATCCACGCGGCCACGGGGAGAGAGACAGAGGGAGAGACACGCAGATTCCAAATATACAGCAGCAGCAGCAGGCGTCGTCAGGGTCGGGATCGAACCCACGACCTCCTGTACACCAGGCGAGGTAGTTAACATCTCCTAGCCACCGTGAGTGATGATGATGAGAGAGAGACACGCAGACTCCAAATATACAGCAGCAGCAGGCATCGTCAGGGTCGGGATCGAACCCACGACCTCCTGTAGACCAGGCGAGGTAGTTAACATCTCACTGGGTAGAGAGAGACCCACGACCTCCTGTACGCCAGGCGAGGTAGTCAACATCTCCTAGCCACTGTGATGATGATGATGAGAGAGACACGCAGATTCCAAATATACAGCAGCAGCAGCAGGCATCGTCAGGGTCGGGATCGAACCCACGACCTCCTGTACACCAGGCGAGGTAGTTAACATCTCCTAGCCACCGTGAGTGATGATGATGAGAGAGAGACACGCAGACTCCAAATATACAGCAGCAGCAGGCATCGTCAGGGTCGGGATCGAACCCACGACCTCCTGTATACCAGGCGAGGTAGTAAACATCTCCTAGCCACCGTGATGACGATGAGAGAGACACGCAGACTCCAAATATACAGCAGCAGCAGCAGGCATCGTCAGGGTCGGGATCGAACCCACGACCTCCTGTAGACCAGGCGAGGTAGTTAACATCTCACTGGGTAGAGAGAGACCCACGACCTCCTGTACGCCAGGCGAGGTAGTCAACATCTCCTAGCCACTGTGATGATGAGAGAGACACGCAGACTCCAAATATACAGCAGCAGCAGCAGGCATCGTCAGGCTCGGGATTGAACCCACGACCTCCTGTACACCAGGCGAGGTAGTCAACATCTCCTAGCCACCGTGATGATGATGAGAGAGAGACACGCAGACTCCAAATATACAGCAGCAGCAGGCATCGTCTGGGTCAGGATCGAACCCACGACCTCCTGTAGACCTAGCGAGGTAGTAAACATCTCCTAGCCACTGTGATGATGATGAGAGAGAGACACGCAGACTCCAAATATACAGCAGCAGCAGGCGTCGTCAGGGTCGGGATCGAACCCACGACCTCCTGTAGACCAGGCGAGGTAGTCAACATCTCATAGCCACCGTGAGTGATGATGACGAGAGAGAGAGACACGCAGACTCCAAATATACAGCAGCAGGCATCGTCAGGGTCGGAATAGAACCCACGACCTCCTGTATACCAGGCGAGGTAGTCAACATCTCCTAGCCACTGTGATGATGATGATGAGAGAGACACGCAGACTCTAAATATACAGCAGCAGCAGGCATCGTCAGAGTCAGGATCGAACCCACGACCTCCTGTACACCAGGCGAGGTAGTTAACATCTCAATGGGTAGAGAGAGACCCACGACCTCCTGTAGACCAGGCGAGGTAGTTAACATCTCCTAGCCACCGTGAGTGATGATGATGAGAGAGAGAGAGACACGCAGACTCCAAATATACAGCAGCAGCAGGCATCGCCAGGGTCGGGATCGAACCCACGACCTCCTGCATACCAGGCGAGGTAGTTAACATCTCACTGGGTAGAGAGAGACCCACGACTTCCTGTACACCAGGCGAGGTAGTTAACATCTCACTGGGTAGAGAGAGACCCACGACTTCCTGTACACCAGGCGAGGTAGTTAACATCTCACTGGGTAGAGAGAGACCCACGACCTCCTGTGTACCAGGCGAGGGAGTTAACAAGACACTGGGTAGAGAGAGACCCACGACCTCCAGTGTACCAGGCGAGGTAGTCAACATCTCACTGGGTAGAGAGAGACCCACGACCTCCTGTGCACCAGGCGAGGTAGTCAACATCTCACTGGGTAGAGAGAGACCCACGACCTCCTGTGCACCAGGCGAGGTAGTCAACATCTCACTGGGTAGAGAGAGACCCACGACCTCCTGTGTACCAGGCGAGGTAGTCAACATCTCACTGGGTAGAGAGAGACCCACGACCTCCTGTGTACCAGGCGAGGGAGTTAACAAGACACTGGGTAGAGAGAGACCCACGACCTCCTGTGTACCAGGCGAGGTAGTCAACATCTCACTGGGTAGAGAGAGACCCACGACTTCCTGTGTACCAGGCGAGGTAGTCAACATCTCACTGGGTAGAGAGAGACCCACGACCTCCTGTGTACCAGGCGAGGTAGTTAACATCTCACTGGGTAGAGAGAGACCCACGACCTCCTGTGTACCAGGCGAGGGAGTTAACAAGACACGCTGGCAGCTTCAGGGCTTGGCCTCATCTTGTGGACCCACGCCCGGCTGACCGTTGGCGGCTGGTCACGTGTGCCTCGTTAATCACTAACCGATGCACAGAACAAAGTACAAAGGCATGCGTGTGTGTGTGTATGTGTGTATGTGTGTCTGTGTCTGTGTGTGTGTCTGTGTGTGTGTCTGCGTGTGTGTGGGTGTGTGTCTGTGGGCATCGATAGTGTAGCGGTTAACGCGCTGCGCTATGAACCTGGCGACCCGGGTTCGATTCCCGCTCACTGCCAACACCAGTGACGATTATCTGAACAGGGTCCCGGGCCTCCCCTAGGTCGACTCAGCCTCAAATGAGTACCTGGTGCGGTGT